GGGGGCCGGTTCCCAGCCGTGCCCCCCTCCCCTCCCCACCCCTAATAGCTGTCCTTGGCCCAGGGCCGGCTGCGCTGCCAGTTCCTGTCGTGGTTACGCTCGGTTTGGCGGTCCGGTGTGCCAGGGCCCTGCAGCCCGCTGTTGTGATGCCGGTGGGGCTGGTAGAGGTCAGGATAGGGGTCTGTGTACTCCTCTTCCTCCAGGTGCCGGGAGCTGCGCTGGGACGCAGCCCCCCAGGGCTGGGGTGAGGTCTCCCCCGCCTCGTCTGATGGCATCAGGCTGTCGTGCTCCAGCGGTGAGTGCTCCCCCCGTTCCCCCAGCAGCTGCTGGCTCTGCGGGGAGGGACAGGGCTGCGGGGATGGCACGGGGGGCTGTCACCCCCCCACCCCAGTCTGTGCACTGCTGCTGCCTGTGGGGAGGGTGGGCTCTGGGAGGGAACCTGCAGGCCTGGGAGGCCAGTGGGTGAGGGCACAGCGTGGGGGGCGTGAGGCGGGTGGTGCGTGGCACGCCAGTACACCTCCAGGTACTCGGCCAGGTGCTCGCAGGCATCCTCCAGCTGGTTCTCATCCAGGATGACATCAAAGAGCTCCTGGGGGACAGGCAAGAGGGGTCAGGAGTGACTCGGGGAACACCCCCACGCAGCATCCCCAGGGCAGAGGGACTTGCTGGCTCACCGGGGGACACTGCACCAGCTTGTCGGCCGCCATCATCTGCACGTTAAGGTGCTTCACCTGGGACTTGCCACGGGATTTGATGAGCCGCTGCAGGACCTGGGGAGGGGAGAGGAGAGTGATGGCACTGCAGGGGGCAGCCCAACCCACCCCCACCCCCCGAACCGTGGTCACCCCTCACCTTGGGCGAGGACACCTTGACATAGACGATGATGGGTGCCAGAGAGGTCTTGGCCAGCTGGGCTGGGTGGTTGATGGTGTCGGCGTCCAGCACCACCAGCTGCAGGGACTTGGCCAGCTCAAAGATGCGCTCGATCTCACTCTGCACCTCAGCTGGGGAGACATGGGGGGGACGTGTTAGGCCAGGCTGGCCCTTCCCAGGGGGGGGATGTCCCTTCACCCCAGGGCACTCCCAGCCCCTCACCAATGCTGGAGCGGGTGGTGGAGCGCTCCAGGATGGCCTGCTTGCCCAGGTTGTTGAGGATGGAGCGCTTGGCCAGGGAGAGGTCAGCTGTGATGTGGGTGATGGAGATCCTGGGAGGCAGAGGGACAGCGGTAGGGACCTGGGTACCCCCCTGGGCCATGACTGTGGGACCTGGTGGGGGGGAGGTCTCACCTGCCATCGAATCTGTGCTTGAGGAAGTCGAAGAGGGCTTTCTGCATCATGTCGGTGACCTGCCGGCGGGGCCACCAGCCCGGTGAGCCCATGGTGAGCTGGCAGCAGATGGCACCGGCAGGGAGGTGGCAGCCACCCGGCCCCCTGCCAGCAGCCCTTGGCCCTGCCATCTGCCCGCCACCAGCACGGGATGGGCAGGGAGGGGACGAGGGGTGCAGGCCACCACCCTGGGAGTGCAGTGAACCCCCCACACACACCATGCAGCCCCCTTGTACCTCATATCCTTTCAGTGAGGGCCCCACCAGCACCACAGGCCGCATGGAGGGGACCACGTCGTAGGGCGGGATGTGCTGTGTCTGCAGGGGGGACATGGGGAGGCATCAGTGCCCTACACTCCCACTCGCAGAGAGAAAGGGGTCATCGAGCCTATTGCAGAGAACCCCGGCATCCTGGAGCCCCCCAGCCCCGTAACCAGGGGCAGAGGGGGGGTCTCTGCCCCGACCTATGCTTGGCCCTACCTGCAGCCCCCTGCCCGGGGCGCAGCCCTGCCCCAGCGACTCACCTGCTTCTGCTTCTGCTTAGCTTGGGGAGAAGAGAGAAGAGACAGAGGTTGGTGTCAGCGAAGTGGGGACCACCGCTATGACCCCCCCCAGACCCCTCTGGGTCAGGATCTGCCCTTACCTAAGGAGGGGGGAGGCGATCGCCGGTTCCCACTGTCGCCGAGGCCAGAGGCATTGCCAGCTCTCCTGGGGGACGAGGGGTTGAGCAAGCATTGGGGGGCTCGGGGGGGACCCAGGGGGGCTGGCAGGGGATGATCCCTACCTGGCTTTCTGCTCCTGCTTGAGCCTCATGGCTTCCAGGCGCTGGGGGCTGGGGATGAAGGCGATGTCCCCCCCCTCCTTCACTAGGCGACCAATCCACCAGTCATTGCTGTATTTCTGGGCAAGGACAGGGCAGAGTTTAGGCCAGAGGGGGGTGTGCATCCCTTGGCCTTGACCCCCCTGCCCAGCACCCCAACTTACCTCCTTGATGTGCAGGAAATCTTTGGCTTCAAAGTTGATGGCGGCTCCCTGCACTGGGCACTCCTCATCCAGCGCCCCGCAGTAGCTGACATTGGTGCGCACGGCAAAGGCGACTGGCTTGTGCTGGGGATGGCAGCGTGGGGAGAGGGTGTCAGCGCCCCCGGGCCCCCCCAGTTCCCCCCAGGGCCGTGCCCTGTGTCCTGTTCCCCCCCCCTCCCCCCATCCCGGTACCCTGGCCCTCTCCAGCCGCTGCCGGGGCCTGCTGCA